GAACTTTTTTGCAAAGTATGACCCCCCCTCCCCACACACACACCACCATACCGAATTCCCTCCTCTACAATCCCCTTCCCCTACTATCCAACACCTTACTGACTTTTCCCAACCTTCTACCTTTTCACCACTTATCCAGGAATTTCGGTATACCCTAAAAAGCACCGTCGAGCGAAGGGGGGAGGGGTCGCCTTACAAAAATGTACCAGTTTCGATTTCGATATCGAAATAGTAGTTGTGTAGGATCTTGACTGCGCCGCTAAGTTAGGAGGGTTGAGATTTCAGCAACGGAAAAACTTTTTTCAGGGTTAGATACCCCCCCCCCCCCTTCAGAGCGTCGAGCTGATACGACTTTGCCTCCTCCCCAGTGGGGGCTCTCAACGTTGTTGATAGCGTGCGTAAAACGAAAATTCGGCTATGAAAGGAAATTTCTCGGGCCAAATACGACCCCATCTTCCGTTGCTAGCAGCCAAACGCCACGCCCTCGCTTGGGATCTCCCAGCTTATGACGTGTCCTGGTGGTAGAAAGTTAGAAGAAAGCAGGAAGATGGTTGTCAGGAAAGGGGAGGGTGTTGTACAAGAGGAACAGGCTTGGAGTGGAGGTCTTACTGACGCCCCATTCCACACGTCACGATGTTATACCATGTGGCTAATCAGAAATAGTGTTTTTCACGGTTTTTAGTACTTTACTAAGTCGTTAGGAAAGATTCCCGTTAACTAAGTTCAAGCCAAGAAGCTTAATATGTGGTATCCATCCATCAATAATCAATGTTTCAGGCTGTTATCAATGCTGCTGTTGCTGATGCCGTGAGAATTCCATCTCCAAGTAATAGCAGAGATGCTGCTCTAAGTCATGCCATTGACTTGGGACTTCTCGCCAACAATTTGCTCAATGATGCCCGTGAACTGAGTACCGAACAAGATGATCGAAGTGATCCGGTTAGTATGGTGTTTTTACAGAAGTCAAGGTAGCACAGGTTCGTTACCTGTTAAGAGATAGGGTATGGCTATCATCTGTTGAGTTAATGAGCGGAAATCCTGTGATGTACAGTTATCGGCGGCGTTTCAAGACCGATTCATAACATATTGTGTGTGGTGAGAGGATCTTTCTGGCAATTAATTGATGGGGGTGCGTACCTGTGATAGTTCACTCTCATTTCTCGGCTATCGCCGGCAAGGACTAAGATGAACAAAAATACATTACTTCCATTTGAGGTGCCAAATTTCTGCTGTCTGCAATGAATTACACAGCTATAGTGCTTCCAGTTATCTCGGGTGACAGACCTCTTTAAGAAATCAGTCACTTTATCGGCAGCTTTTTCAGATGCTCGTACGTGTGAGCGACAATGTGTACCTGAGCGATAATGATCAACCCCAGGAAAACGACCATCATCGTGGTGAGGTGATGGATGAGGAAATGGATGAAGAAGCGGTAAGATTCGCTAACACGCTGTAAAGCATCTTTCATAGTTCGCGACGTGAGTGAGTCCGCTATTCTATAACCTGTTATTAGCATTAGTTGGCGTTCGATGCCTAAGAGAATTCAACCACAAAAGCGCTGACGCGAAATGCCACTCTAGCGCACTAATAACAGATCGCCAGTGAGGGAGACAACCCCACGACTATCATGTGATTAGTGGCGTTCAATACAAAAACTCTATGATGCTATCTTCAGTCAGGATACTCTCTGGACGAGTTTCACAAACCTACCTTGTTGATGCAAATATCGTGATCCTCTGCTCAATGATAGTTTCTTTGCGTCATCCAGAGTTAGTACCATCTCATAGTGAAAAGAAGCGGGAAACGCGGTGTAAAAACTTAACTTGCGCAAAAAGTAGCACTTGAGTTTTGGTGGGCGGTACAACTGCGAAGCGTCAGAACTGTCACGTCCAAGGACCGCGGCGCCTTCGCTGCTTACTGTGAACTCGCGAAAGCGGGATAATCTTAGTGACTAAGGGCCAGACTTCTTGTACAAGGAAGAGAGCCTAGAAATTGCTTGAGCGCCGGCACTGTCTTTAAGTCGCGCGACTGAATCGCGGATGTCACGAACTGTGAGTGCTGCCTTATCTATCATGATTTGTAACTTTTCTCCATTAGCCTTTATATTCCTTCTAAAATGCATTCGTTAGGTCCAGGTGGAGGACTCGATGTCATCTGGTGAAGAAGATAACGAAGACAGAACTGTAGAGGATGAAGAAGGTGATGACAGAGAGGAAGATGACACCATGGATGGTGAGGATCAAGATGACGAGGAAGAGGAAGATGATGAAGATGGTCGTAGAGAAGGTGACGTGCAAGCAACTGTGAGAGTAGACGCAGAAGAAAGTGGTGAAGATGGCGAAGAAGAGGAGGAAGATGACGATGAAGAAATGTATGATTATCCAGAAGAAGACGAAGATGCGGTAGGCTTTTCCTGTCGCGTTATTGTTCATCTTATATTTCATGTATGCTTTGCAGTTGCATGATATGACTTTCGATCTGCTGGATCGACCTGGAATGTCTTCCTTTGGATTTGATGACTTTATATTTGGACCTCCCATTGGGATCAACAGGTTCGTATATTTTGCATAATTTAAGCAATTTTTTTCATTTTTGCGTAACTTGGTTCAGGGAGCATCGTGGAGCCCGTCGAGAACAATCGAGCGCTGGCGTACATCCATTGATGGTAAGGCCGGCTCACATTGCTGATTCCCAGCCATCGCACAACCAACAATCTGCGCCTACGGTCAGTCGGCTAGAACGCATTGCCAGGGTGAATTTAATTTTCTTCTGTCGTTTTCAACCATGGATTTTATGGGGTGAGAACATGGGCTAAATTACTTTCTATATTCGACGACTTGGGTTTTATTATGATCTCGGGGAGCTTTATACTGGGAGGGTTCCTTTTTACTTTTACAGCTTATGTCTGTTCTTCCTTTACTACGATATCCAAAATTGGGAGCTGTTTTTGAATGCAAGGGTTCGATTTTCAGCTCGGCAACTATCGAAGTCTTCTGTTGGATAGTGGAGGAGCAGGTATCCCAGTGACTCTGACTCGACAAAATGCCATCCGTCGTATTGGCGCCGCCGATCGTGGCCGTGTTGGTCCAACTAGTCAGTTCTTTGATAGGCTGTTCGATTTGCATTCACGAGACCGTGGTGGGCCGTTGATGAATATGACAGCAGGACGAATCGTAAGCATGGTAGGTGGATTCTTCATAGTCACGACTTATAATGGAATGTTATGGTTGTGAACTAATTTTTACCCAACTGCAATCTTTCCAATCTTTCTAGGGATCAAATTTGCTCGATAGCCCTGAAGAAAGGCGAATGCGACAGCCTGCATCTGCTCCTTCCGCCTTGGATCGATACACTGATGGAGCTGACATGATGGATGGGGTTTCCATGCAATACGTCGCCATAATTATAAATACTATAGTTACCAGAGTGGCAAGAAAACGTGTAGAAGAGGTATTTTTGAAATGATACTTGTTTGTTTTTTTAAGCTTTAGCTCTTAATTTTTGTTTAGGAGAAAGCTAAAGAGGCTGCCGAGCAAGCGGCTAAGAAACTTGTGGAGGAAAGCAGCAAAGGAACGTCAGAAAGTGCACCGAAGGCCAGTGATGATACGGGCACTTCTGGAGCTACGGCCACTGTACTGGCTCACCCACCAACTGAAGTTGCACGTCAAGCATGGGATGAATCAGCTCTGGGCAATCGTGAAGCAGACGTAAATACAGCAATGAGTGCTGGAGATAGTGTGGCTAATGGAGATGCTTCGAATTTACCCGTCGTCGAAGGAGAAGCCATGGACACCTCAGGTATTGTCCTTTAACAAAAACTGTATACTCACCTCTGATGATGGTGCTTG